CTGCGTACTAAAGTTGTACTACCAAGTCGCCAGTTCTCATCTTCCCACTCCCCACTCCGCGTACTAAAGTTGTGCTACGCAGTCGCCAGTTCTCAGCTTCCAGCTCCACAGATTGCTCCGCGTACGAAAGTTGTACTACAAAGTCACCAGTTCTCAGCTTCCAGCTCCCCAGCTACTCCGCGGACTGCAGTTGTACTACAAAGTCACCAGTGCTCATCTCCCAGCTCCCCAGATACTCCACGCCCTCAAGTTGTACTACCCACTCGCCAGTTCTCATCTTCCCGCTCCCCAGCTGCTCCGCGTACTACTGTCGCACTACCACGTCGCCAGTTCTCGGCTTCCAGCTCCCCAGCTACTCTGCGTACTAGAGTTGCGTACCAAATCGCACTCTCGCCTGCGTTTCGCGCACTCGACACGCACGATCTCCGCAGAGGGTTGCGCGCGGACCGGACAAATCGCACTCTCGTCTGCATTTCGCGCCCTCGACACGCACGATCTCCGCAGAGGGTTGCGCGGGCAGCCGCCAAATCGCCCTCTCGCCTGCATTTCGCGCACTCGACACGCACGATCTCCGCAGAGGGTTGCGCGGGCAGCCGGCAAATCGCACTCTCGCCTGCATTTCGCGCACTCGACACGCACGATCTCCGCAGAGGGTTGCACTTTCGGTTGACGCTGTTCGTCCCACCCTCCGCCTTTAAGAGAGAATTTATAAAGTGGGGAAATGTTTTTCATTAGGACATCTCCCGTGCTAGTTTTCCATGCTCATCATTAGGACATCTCTCGTGCTAGTTTTCCATACTCATCACCGCACTTGCATCACTATTACACTTGCATACTTTGACACTTGCATACTTAGCACTTGGATGCTTGCGCTCTTCCACTTACACTGGTGTACGTATAGCGTTCATGTTGTAGTGCAAGTGTGGTGGAAGTGTCAGTGTGTAAGTGTAAGTGTCGAAGTTCAGTGTGTAAGTGTAAGTGTCGAAGTGTCAGTGTTCAAAGGATTTTCCGGAAGAACCCTTCGCTTTCGGGAAAGAACACATGAGGTTGAACAAAAATCATTTTGGTCGAAAAAACACCCAGCCCAAATTTGATCCATGCTCGGGCAATCCTCTTGCAGGTCAATTGTGCACAAATGTTGGCGAAATGCGACCCAGATAGGATGGCTGGTTGAGTGCCCAAATGTGTGCCAAATGCAACAGCACGTGGTCGTCGAGCACCATCCGGCCTGTCGAGTGCCAACCCATCATGGGATGGCTGGCTGAGTGCCCAAACGCAAATGCAACAACATGCTCCTCACTGAAGGTGTTCAATGCCATTGGAGAGCGGATTGGTGAGCAAGAGTGCCAAGACCTCAAACACCAGGACAGGATCAAGAAGGGCACAAAGAGGTTGATGAAAGGGAAGAAAGATCTGCGCATTGAGTTTTTGATACTGATGGCCAGCATGAACTCAGTTGCTGGTGAGAGAGATAAAGGACTACCAGGTCGACTACATGTGGTTTGTGATGGTGGGGCGCGCCGCCATCGGGGCCTTGAGCATTTTGCAGTGGCTTCATCATGATGACAAGCTGCAGAGTGGCTCGATTGCCACCTTTGTCAGCAGTGTGAGGATCAAGCCACAGAGATGCAACAAGAGACCTTGAAGTGTGAAGGTGCCATCAAACACCTGAAGGGATCTTCGAAAGCTAGCATGGTGGGGTGCTTCACTTTAAATCCACCTACAGTTTTTGGCAAAATGCCAATGAGATCCGCTGGTGTCAAGCGTGCCAAGGTGATGAGGGCGTGTTAGAGTATATATGCACAGAGGTCATGACATGTCACCTTGGTACAGGACACGCACATGGCGGCTAGTTGTGAATTGGTTGCAAATCACTCATGATCTGACACTTCGACTGCATGTATACACATGCGCAAATGATACAGACTGCCCCTTCACAATCACTATTATTGTAAACTAGAAATCATTTCGAGGGTCCATGGGCGGTCATTTTCTTCCATATTTGTTTGCAGCTGTTTCTGGAGAAGTCCTCCTTTCAGCATCAATTGAACAGCCGCACCGGGTTCCAAGCAACGATAGACACTTTCATAGTTTGTGTTCAATGCAAGCATTGTTCTTATTGATTTTACATATGTATCTGCGTTCCTTGTCGCTTGAGTTGATTGCGAGTGTCAGGTGTCAAATTAGTATATAGATGATTTGCGTTGGAACAACATCACAGTTGTTGAAGCAACTCTTCATAGTGTGCCTTTCGTCATGGCAGACAATTTGGGGCAAGATTTGGTGGCAGAGGACGTCCGTATATATATATATATATATTGTCCCGAGAACAGGTGGCTGATGTGTACATTCATTGCGTTGAAGCAAGGGCGAAGATTTGACAACGTTTTTGGATTGCTGTATTGTTTCAAGTGCAAATCAAATTTAGATCGCAATTATCCGTTTTGAAACCGTGCTTGAATGCTTGCAATACATGCATGTGCCAAATGTGTGCAGTTTTTTTGTGCGTTCATCCAAAGGATCTGGAGCTATCACAAGTTGACAAGACAGTGACAAGTGAAGGCGTTCTGATGTTTTTCTAATTTTCATATTTTCTGTTTCAACATTTTAAAACCGATGGAACTGTTGCAATACGAACGTTTCTAAAGAGCAAAGTTAAACGTTTTATGGCGTTCCATTAAAATTGTTCGTTTTGCTTGGCACAAGTAACATACATCTCTCAGATTGAATGCTGCAGACGGACTAGCAAAAAGACAAAGTGACTCAAAATGGTTTCACAGCCTGGACAATGCTCCTTTGACCAACGTTCTGCATCTTCTGTTGGAAGTGCCGGTCAGGCTTCGCATACACTCGATTGGATTGTGTGGCTCCCAATGACTGCCAGTTCACTCACACTCTTTGAGGGATCCTCAACCTGTGAGAGCAGGTTACTTAAGGCCTGGGGTTGGTTTTATGCTGATGCCAGCTACGTGAAAAGGCCAAACTCAGTCAATGAAAGCACTCATATTTAGAACAGAAAGGACCTTTGCTTGCTTCAACAGGGTTGGACTCTTTGCCAGTTGTGTAGTAGAACATTTGTCAGCACAAATTGCTGCGGTGGTATCATTATTTGTTTATGTCTAGGGTCTAGAGTGTAGAGTCATAAACACCGGCAGGTATTGTCAAAGTGAAATTTGCTAGTTGCATGTCTTACAGGGAATCTTCAGGATACTTTTTGTTTTCATTCTCATGAGAAGTTGTGTGTAGTTGGTGAACACCTTAGGTTCGAGGACATCAGTTCGACTGTGCTGAGGTGTGGGCAAGCAAATTGGTGGCTTGGGGATACTAGCAGAGTGGATTCCTTAGTGGTATTTGTATTGGAAAGATCAGAAAGAGCGTGTAGGGCTTGAAGTGTGCATTTGGCTGCTTGCTGCAGTTCTGATTGGCTAAACACAGTTTTGGACCACTTGGTCATGCAGAGCATGAACATTTTAGTGCCAGGTATCCATTTATTCGGAACCTGGACTTGTCTCGAAACTGCATCAAGGAGAGTCAAAAGCCTCTGATTACATGACCCTGACATGTTGCAGTATTTTGCAAGTACATCTAGCCAGGCAGGAAATGAGTGAGACCGGTGTGCGGGTAGTTCTTTTTGCCGGAGCATTTGTGCGCATGATTGCCAGGTCTTTTGTTCGGCATATATGTTTTTGCATTTGTCCTTTGAGCGAGCTTTGCTCTTGTTGTGCTCAAGCTTTGCAGAGAGCTTGTCGGCTGTTGCGTGGCGGCTCTCAATTTGTGCATAGGTACATAGATTTTGGGCCTGCCCCCATTTGTTTGTCCTTCATCACCCGCCACCATTGATGGCTTGCAAACAACAAGATGCAGTGTTTGCTAAACATTTGTTGCGAGTTGCAGTGGGGTCAGGACGTTCGCCCTATCAGCAGCCTTCGGCATGTACTGTCCCTGAACCTTGCGCCCTTCTGACACGCTTGGTAAATGCCTCTAAGAGGCTTTGGTTGACCTATATATATGTCGAAACACTGCCAGCCGATCAAGTCCCATCGATCGCACGCGCATGCGGGCAAATCCTTTTCTGGCTCCAGCCGAGATGATTGTCCCTGCGACGAACGATCGACATGCTTGCACCTGTGGATGGTTGGGACTGCACTCTTGGAAGCTTTTTCACTGAACAAACTTCTTTTTAAGAATTCGGCAAAAGCTTGGGTAGATTCACTGCTCTAATCCTTCAAGGTGCGAATCATGTCCGTACCGGGAGTCTTTGGTTCCCATGCCAAATCCTGAGTCAAGTCTGACTTGGTGCGAGAGCGAATCAGGAAATTCGCCAAGTCCAGCAGCAATCCTGTCGCCGTCTTATGGCGGGCGACCACCCACTTGGCATATGAGCGAGAACGCTCATCGGTGTGTGCAAGCTCGGCATACGAGAGATTGGCTGCTTTATGCTGTCGAAATTGAATTACCGTTTTCCCCCACCGCGTCAAATCTGTCACATCGGCGGGGATGTCCGGCAAATCACTTGAAAACCAACCAACACGATTTGGCATTGGTGGTGATGGAATGGGAACACTCACATATGAAGGCATGAAACTCTCAGATCCTCCGGCATTAGACTCTTGGCAAATGCTGATGTGGGGAATGCAGCGTGGCTCGTCCCACGTTCACGCTTGTAGCCTGGCATCTGGGGCATCTCCTCTTCACGACGTTTGGATGCATCTGACATTGCACCCATGGCCCCATGGTTGAGCCAAAAGGGATCACGCTGAATCCCTCCTTGGACTCGCTTCCCAGGTCTGGATTTTTCGGACCTTCAATCGACAAGGATGGCATCGAGGCACCTGCCTTGTTGAGCAGGTGTTCACGGTGAGCCTTCTCTTTTGGCGTCAGTGGCATTTCACAAAAGCTCAAGTGGACGATTTGCAACCCCGTTCTCAAGCACGAAAACTCTCCGTAGGCAAAAACATTCACATGTTATCACATGTTGATGTTTTGTTGAACGAAAGCACATCAAACAACATCGGCACATGCAATCACTCTTAAACGGTAAAGGAAAAGGTAACGAACGAAAAAAAGGAAGGCTAGCCACACGCATACAAAAAAACACTTGGCTCATAATCAATGTCCCATGGCAGTCGAACCCACTAGACTGTCTGTCTCACATTGATTTATATATCTCATCTATTTCTTACTGTCGCTTATGCATCTAATTGAGGATGATCTGCAGCTATTGACTTCATACTTTTGCGACGGTCACGCTCTTCTGCCTGGTGTCTCAGGACGGTGTCTTCCGGTGCAATCTGATATGTCCGATATGCCTTGACGGACACAGGCCCTGAGCAAGTCGACGGGTTCTTGTCGGTCTTTTATCAGACCGTCAGCGATCATCCAACCTGTTGGCAGCCACCTGATGGATGCTCCCGTGATACGAATGGACTCTTTCAAGATCACTGTGTCTATACTAGCCCTCCGGTCGTCAATGGGCGTCGGTGAGGATGGGGACACTAGGTTCGCACAGGGATTGGCAATCAGTTGCAAGGATTGGAGCTCTCTTCATGAGTAGGCTTCTTGCTTGTTTAGCTTCGAAGGGTCCATCAAGAGTTTCCGACAGGAGGAGTGACAACCACTCAGCCGTTCCACTAGCTGTAGCCATTGCTTGGGTCTTGCCCCCTAGGGTTGAACTTACAGCTCTAGGCAGTTTATAGCTCTGGAGTCCACGGAGAAACCTTTCCGTCATGGAGGTCTTTGTGAACAACAGCTAGAATGTATCCTGCTTGTGTGACACCCTACGTTGGCGAATGCTGCGTCGGAATGACAACATATGGTGCAAGCTTAGTGGAACGAAAACGTACACACAAATCCGTGTGTTGCTTTGTGCGTAGAAAGGCGTTGTTCGCATTCCTCAAGTCTTGGATCTTGGGTTGTGGAAACCCTTGTTGACAGAAGCTAGTCTGACAGGAGGTCTGGCCTGCACACAGTCCCGGCAGTGAGTCGCGTCCATCAGAAGCATCTGGCGCAGATTCCGCCGGAATACGCAATGGAAAACCATGAAGTGCTGGTCAGTCGTGCTGAGCTGCAGGGCGACAAGGATGAGGATATCAAGAAGGCTTTGCGTAAGTTGCGTAGAAATTTGGGCCACCCTCAGACACCGGACATGATCCGCATCCTTCGTCACGGATCAGCATCGAACAGGGCCATTGAGCTTGCGCGTGCTCTAGAGTGTGAGTTTTGCAAAAGCCAGATTAAACCCCATGTTCCACTTCCTGCCAAGTCATCCCGTCAACACGCTTTCAACGCACAAGTTGGAATCGATGTCAAGTGGCTGCAAGGCTGGCAGGTGAATCAAAAGGTCTGAACATGGTGTGTCAAGGTTCGTGTTATCAACAGGCGCTTCCCTTTTTCGAGAGAGAAACCGCACACCTGTATCACACCCTGTTCGAACGCCGCTGGGTACAATGGGCCGGTCTGCCCAACGAGATGGTGATGGTTAGCGCTCGCATCAACTTAGGGGAAACCTTGCAGAAGTATCTAGATGACCAAGGCGTCACTGTGCGCCCCATCCCGGCGCAAGCTCATTGGCAGCTGCCCAGGGGTTCGTTGGTATGGTATTGCAGTATGCGTCGGACAAGTTGGTAAAAATTGGATTGTTGCCCATCGTCGACAGATCTTTAGATGTGCTCCAGAACAAATGCGACCAGCGACAACCGAAGAGCGAGCTTTGGTGACATCACCTCAAGCTGAACTTCTAGGCATCAAAGATCTACTGCAAGGAGGCACTTTCAAGAGCGCAATGCATTGATCTTGTTCCGGGTCATTATCCAACGATAGTCGACGCACCAAGCTCGGATGCAGGAGACCAAGTGTCACCCTCTCCTCCGACTGAAGAGTCGCAAGTGCCAAACGCTGAACCGACGCAGCCATCTCCAGACCCGGTGATAGACAAGACAAGTCAAGCATGCAGTTAGAAGCACGACCTCCAGAGTCAAACAAGAGACAGGAAACTCCATCGGATGATACAAGTCAGAAAGATCAGGAACAACCAGGAACCTCATCTTCATCGTCTTCATCCCACAGAAATAAAAAGCCAGACTCAAGTTATGGACCTGTTAGGCGCAGAATTGACTCGAAGTCAGGCGCTCCTGCATTGTTTCGACCAGCTGCAATGAAACAAGATGACTTCGTTGAAATCATGAGAAAGATAGTTACTCCAAGGTCATTTGAACCCGGATCTTGAAAAGAAAGCTGCAGCAGGTCTCCTCCAGTCGCCAACCTTGAGCCAGTTGGGTCGCATGGTTTTGATGCAGACCATTGCCTCTCACCGATGGACTCTCCAACTTGGAGACATCAAACCAGCTTTCCTCGAAGCCGGAGAGTTGCCCTCGGAGTACAGACCTTTGTATGGAAAGATGCCACCACGGGATTCCAGGTATTCCAAACTCTGAAGATGTGGTCATCGAAATTGTAGGCAACCTGTATGGTCAAAACGATGCACCAAGAGCATGGCATGCCACGTTTGACAAAAAAGCTGTAGCTGCAGGTTGGACTAGATCAATCTTCGACCCATGTTTGTACACTCTTCGGTGCGTTCAATCAGGCAATCTCTTAGGAGTGCTGGGCGTACACGTCGACGACGCAGCGGTCGGGGGTGCTGGTAACCAATTCGAGCAGTCACTTACACAGTTGAAAAAACAGGTTTCCATATAGGAAGTGGCGAGTTTCCAATGAAGAGTTTCGTGGCGCAATGTATGATCAAAATCCAAGGACTATTGACATCATCATGTCTCAGAAGAGTTTTGCCGAGGGTCTTAGACCAGCAACTATCCCTATAAGGGAGTTCCTCCATCACAGCCTCTCACTGAACATCAAGTGCGTGTTCTTCGAGCCATCAATGGGAGCCTACATTGGATCTCATCGCAGAGCATGACTGCTTGCACGAAAGCTGGAGTATGCTGGGCCGCAAATTGGCTAGTGGATCCTACCTCTTTGTTCGATCCGGCAATCGTGTCATGGCATGTGTGATGAACATCGCGCTTGCTGGGACATTGCAAACCTAACGACTTCATGTGTTCATGGCTCAACAAAAGCCCGTTGGCCTTTCGAGTGTAGCGATCACTCGATGGCAGGCAGAGTCCATACCGACACATGTGACATTTGGTTTCGTGATATTGCTGCAACAGTTTCTTCATTTCTGGGTATCCCCATGTGTTGGCTCCAAGAGGGTGTTTGTTTGAAGATAGCTTGTTTCCCCAGTCTCCCCTGTTGTTCAAACAATTCGCAGCAAAACCGGATGAACGCACGGCTCAAGCGACGTTTTCGGATGAACACCTGAGGATCCATGGTGCGCGAATTGAGGAAAAACCATCCACCCTCATAGGTGCACAATGGCGCAACACCAGGAGATTTGGTGGGACCTGTCGCAGGAATGTTTTTACTTCTTCCGTCACGGACGCCTTGGAGAGGTCACAGCCAGTCTTGAAGGCATAATTTCTAGCACTGAAGCCTAGTTCTTCGGCATACTGTGAACATCTTGGAGGGCTAAACTGTCCTTGAACTGGTAGGCATTCAGTGGAGCACTGCTTTTAGCCGGTTGGGTTCGGACGACGGTCTTAGGCATCGGCTCTAAGTAGATGCGCTTATCTTGCATGTCTGAAGGCGGGAAAGGAGGTTCATCCCCCTCATACTCAGCAATGAACTGCTCGACATCCTGAAAACCTTCCAAGCTGTCGCGTTCTTCTGTATTCGACATGTTGATGGCCTCATCCTCCAACAATGCAACACCAGCTGTTGTACGACGCTTTGCAACAATGTATTCAGGATAACAACTCCTCATTGCTTTGCCAATTTCTTCACGCTTCATGACGCCGAGGGTTCTGGCCAGCGCAACTGCCTTCTGCTCGTCATTGAGGCCGCTCCGATGTAAAATCAACTAGCCTCGGGCCTCCTCAGAAAAAAATCACATTTGTTTTCCTTGCGCAACGATCGAACAATTCGCTCGAGCGACTGATCCAGGCCTTGAGCGATTCACTTTCATTTGCATGCAATTTGAAGATCTCGGTCAGCACTTCGCTCATTTCATCTGTGACTTCTTTTTGAGGAAAACGAGCATCCAAAAGGTCGAAGAGGGCTTTCTCTCCAAGCGTGAGCGTTTTCGCCTGAACCCAGGCTTTGCATCTTCTGTAGTCCTTGTGGTCCTCGCTCTCGCCGGAGAAAAAATTTCAACCCACCGGCATCGGTGTCACCTGTGGCACTCATGGCGGCGCCGGAGTCCTATCCGGAGCCAGGTCACTGATTGAACCTGGCTCCGCTCTGGCAGCCGATCGAGTCCTATCAATCGCACGCACATGCGGGCAAATCCTTTTCTGGCTCCAGCCGAGATGATTGTCCCTGCGACGAACGATCGACATGCTGCACGTGTGGATGGTTGGGATGGCACTCATGGAAGCTTTTTCATATATATATATACATACAGAGAAATCAATTCTATGAGTTTTGTGCCAGGATGTTGTGCCATATTATAGGTTCTTTGAGATGGGCGGCTGCCAGGTCCAATCACATCCTGAGCATGGATTGGGCTCCCGAGGCCAATCAAACATGTTGGAAATTGTCTCTGGGGTCGGTTAGAGTCAGCAGGGAGTTCATGGAGTTCTGGAATCAATTGGCTCACATGAGCCCGGTACGTCCAATAGAATTTGTACTGGCAGCATGTGCTTGCAATGTACTTCATGCAACCAATTTCAAGCGTCTCAATTGTGTTCCCTCGCGACTGTATCCTTCTATCTTCTATCAATGTATCATCACAAGTACCGGCAAGGAACATCGCTGTCACTTCAGAAGTCTGCAACGAGATAAACTGGCTTAGCACATGCTCCACCTAGACTCTCCATGGGTTCAGCGTCCATGTAACTCCATAGACACTTGTTTGTAAAGGGGAAATACATTTTTGTGCTGTTTGACTTGATGCTGCAAAAACTGTGCCATTTGCTGATGAAGTTGAATTCGTGCTGCGCACGATGTTTTTTTGGGCACAGCAATTGTGCACAATCTGTTGGTCAAGTGCAAAGTTGAGGATTTGCCCCATTTGCTCTACCTGGACATGTCTGGGAACCGGCTGCAGGAGTTGCCGCCGTTCTTTGACCGGCAAACAATGACATGTTTGTTTAGCCGATTGTGACTCCATCGGACATTTTGGCCTAAAAATACGTTACAGGAATGCAAGATACATTTCACTGCAGTGGGTTAAGAGCTAAGGCAAACATTTGCAATGCAGTAGCAAGAAACTACTAGGGGCTCCTGGCCTTACTATTAGGAGCGAGGACGCTACTAGGGTTCATGGCATCGCTACTAGGAGCATTCTTACTACTAGGAACAAGAAGCAGATACTTTTCACTGCAGTGGGTTAAGAGCTAAGGCAAACATTTGCCAGACGGTGTTCCTTTGCCCACAAAGCTAGTGCTTTGCTGAGGCTTCACATGCCAGCTCTGAGGACAGGCTATACACTTGAGATGTCAATCGAGAACTCTGTGTGCAATCTCTCAGTTCTCTCAGTTGCCACACATGGCTTTGAGGGCAGAGATCTACTCAGGTGGTACGACCATACAACTAGGAGCAAGGACGCTACTAGGGGCTCCTGGCCATACTACTAGGAGCAAGGACGCTATACTAGGGGCTCCTCGACATACTAGGATCTACTCATATTGATTTCTTCTGCAGTCAAGAGATGTAAAGGACGGACAGGACGGAACCATAGAGGGATGGAGGATAGAAGCCCAGCGGACCAGATCTGTTTGTTTGGTTCCTTTGTCACCAGCACCTGATCAAAAGCGAACTTGCAAGCTGAAAGAATTGGTTGTTATATAGGTTAAATGGGATGCTATTCTACTCTTGGTGGGAACTTGATTGCACAACTTGCAGCAGGGGTCTTGGCAAGGGCAGAGTGACCATTCACATAAAGGAATTTGACTAGGGCACATCACATCCTGAAATGATGCATTTTAGATAGTTTGAGTGAAATCCAACGAATGATGCCCTTTGGCATTATTTCAGATTTAAGCTTGCACGCATTAGCGGTGGGTCATCAACCCGGCAACAGACTTTGCTCAGCAACAAAAGTTAAAGATGATCGAAAGACCTTTCTGTCCTTGTATGATTTACGAGTCTTGGACATCACCAAAAGGACACCGACGTCAGCAACTCATACTTTTGTAAAAAACATATATATATATATACGAACACACTATTTTTTGATATATCTTTGAAGTGTTTAGCCTTTGCAAAAGGCCTCTGTTGCATGGAGGAATGCAGATTTTAGAGACAATTCCATTGCTTCGCGGAGGGCTCAGTTGGTTCGCTGTGATTCTCTGTGGGGTCCAACAAAGCAAAGTGTGGGGAAAGAAAGACACGTACAGCACGTGCAGTGGCACCGGAGCTCTGCCTGCGTGCTCGGCTCGAGGTGTTCGAAGTTTTCTGGTCACTTGACGTTGCAGATGCTGCGCTTGTGCGGAAATCAGCTCACATCCGCAGTAGCCCCAGTTTCTGTCCGCGAGGCTCGGCTAGGCTAAAGTGAAACTTTTGGACTCTTCAGTTGCACTTCTTCAGGGTGTTGGCATCCAAAGTGTGCTTTCGCTTAGGCGGTTGGCTTGCAGCAGATGCCAAAGTTGGAAGTCTTGGAGGTCCAATCAGTAGACCGATTGAGTTTGGATCCAGAGACTCATCATCGTACTAGTGCACCTCACAATGTCTCCGGAAGATTGGTCTCTTCCTTACAAACTTACATGTCCTTTTTTTGTCGCAGTTGCAAGACCAGTTTTGTGGGAGCTTCTTTTTGGAAGATGAGCGAGGCATGCCATCAACTTCTAGAACTTGCAAAAGCCTCCAACTTCTTGGAGGAAGCCTCTAACCACCATGCCAATGCAATCAACATCTCAAAAGTACATGACCTGGACACTGACATGCCGACTGTTTTAGCGGGCCCGACGGGCCCGTTATCAGGGGCTAAGACACAGACGCTGGTTGTGGGATAATAAGCGGTGTTACGGCCAGATGCTAAGAATAGCCACGCTTAGTATATAGCCACACGTAAGATAGAGAGTAAGAAACAATATGTTTTGCTGCCACAAGCCGACTTTCTCAGTTGGGACGAAATGTCTTGTCGGACCTGGATGGCATGGCCATGCTTTTGCCTCAGTGTTTCTTCAAGTTGCTGGCCGCTCTGTGGGCTTGCTTTGCTTAACAAGGAGTTGCCCAAGATTTCACCCAGTTAACACTTGACCTGCATTCCCAGCATCTTTAGCATATGAGTTGCAGAGTTGGCCAGTGTGTTCGAGGGTTTAAGCTATGTCCAGTCGTTTCTCTCGGAAGACTGTACGGTCAGCACTATCAACACTAGGACTGACAACTGATAGTTGCTCGGAGAATAAATGTAGTGTAGCTAGAGTGACAACGACGAACAGGTCTTCATTCGAAGAAGGAATGCTCCTTTCTTTTGACTAGTAAAGTCTGGTTATCTCCACATATTCAATATAGATTTCGCATCCCATTTTGTTGAGAACTGCCACTCTCAGCCTACAGTGGCAGCGTTGCCTTTTGTATTCCTCCAGTATTCGGTAGCTTTTGTCAAGGGGCCTCAATCAGAGGGATCTTTGTTCCTCAGGTTGCCTTCCATGAGTCGTTTGGATATTTCAAGCAATAAGTTCGAGACTCTTCGAGCTCCATGGAAGGAGATGGTCTGGTTTCCCAGAGCCTGGCGGAGACTGAAGCAGATTTCTAGAAAGGAAGCAGATTTCGAGCATGCTGGAGTCAAAAACCAGGATACACAAGATACCGTGTGTTCGGCTTCAGTGATCCATTTTGTTGAACAAGCAAAACAAGCACTGTTTCTTTGCACTGTTCAACTGCTTCTTTATTGTCCTCTTTCTTTGGATTGCGCTTCCAAGTAGATTTGATCTTCTAGTAATTTCACGCCGAGGCTGCCTTGTCAATTTTGGAGGCTGCCAACAATGCGTTTGCAGAGGTGAAGGCTCTTCAGCCATTGGCAGAGATCATACAACTTAGGACTCCGAGATGAAGTGGTAGTGACATGTCGAGCTGCAACCATATTCTTCATTGGTTGTAGACCATTTCAGTGGCTGTGGCAGTTCTCAGAGAGAGCATGACAGAGCAACCTTGTTCGACCTCCGAAGTCATTCTTCTTTGTGCCTGTGGGGAAGTTGACCAGAAGTTTTTTTGTTTGGATTATGAATCAAACGTCAAATGAATTATGCGGAGGAGCCTGACAGTGAACGGCTGTCCTCTGGAAGAACAGGAGAGACTTGTCAAAGATGCACTTGCTGTGCAAACTATGTTCCACTGGTTTACTGCTTGCATGTTGGACAACATAGACCACAACCGACAAAAGCCTTCACCAACTGGAATTGCAGGACGGAGTGAACATGCGCTTGGAGGTCCTCATTTTTCGACCTCTACAACACATCAATGGCGAAGAGGCTCTAAGATATATATATATATATATAATGACCTGAAGCTTCGGACCAAGACATTTGGGCAGCAAGGTAACCGGAGCGTATTGAAGCTTGGAATGTGCAAGAACCTTCTTGCCTCTCAAAGACTTCCTGCATTGCGTGCAAATTACAATAGTCATATACATATGTGAAGGACGGACGGAGGGAGAGAGAGCAGACATAGTAAGGACTTATACAGTGCACCAGAGCTCAAGATGGGATGGCTACTATAGTTACTGGGCAATGCTTACCACTTATACGGAGCAATATGTTTTATTCTACTGGTTCATGTGCGCCACAAAATAGTCCTTGGCAAAGATACAACAAATACATCATTTGTGGAGGTCACCAGTGAAGAGCAGGAGGAGGCGAAAGCACTGCACGAGAAGCGTCTTGAAGAAGAGGCCACAGTTGCAAAGCGATTTAGCGAAGTATTTCCCAAACGTCGGCATGCAGTTGGGTTTCGGGGTGTTGCACAGTTGTTAGGTGTTGCGATCGGAATTCCACCTTCGAACCATGGAACCTTGGAACACTGGGTGCTTCTAGCTTCTGTAGCTAACAGCAGCTGTGATCGGAATTCCAAACCGTAGTTGCGTTTTAGTTTCAATCTCTGGGGCCGGAGTGGTGCACACCATGGAACCCTGGGTAGGGCTGGAAGTGTGGCGGGGATGGGGGGAAGGAGTTGTGTAGCGTCCTTGTTCCTAGTAGTAAGGCCAGGAGCCCCTAGTAGTGTCCTTTGCTCCTAGTAGCGATGCCCTTTGCTCCTAGTAGCGTCCTTGCTCCTCGTAGTAAGGCCAATCATGTAGCTGGAGTCTTGTGTTCGGTGCCGTGTTTGGTGCTGCGCCCAGTGCTGTACAGGGTGCCGTGCAAACCCCGGGCCCTGCTTCTAACAGAATTTCCACAGAGCTTCAATGCTAAACGCAGGTTTGGTATGTCTTGGATACATTGTTGTGGCCTTGCCAAGTTGTGTTTTGCGCACGAGGCACGTTTGCCCTTTCTCGTGCCTTCTTCCAGAAGTAAGGAACATCTAGTGACGGCAGCCACAGTGGTGCCAAAATCATAGGGAGGCCAATCAGCTGCTTCATGCTATGGGAAAATCATTTCAATACATTGAAAGACTATGACTAAGACTCCAAACAGCAAAAGAGGCGTGAAAAGGGCACGATGTGGACTGCTAAGTTGCAAACTGCTTTGAGATGTTTTGTTTTCATACATGCTGTTGGGTTGCAAAGCTGGAATATATAATCCAATTTATGCTTTCCAAAATCGATCAGGCGGAGAGGCTACGTCAAGAGGAGGAGGCTGGGTGAGACCCCAACCTACTACCCACACTGCAAATTTGATGGGTTGTTCTGGTAGTTCTCAGTAGGTTCAGTAGGTGAGTAGGTGCTCCAATCCATTTTTAGGCTCCATGTTGGTTTGTGAGAGGGTATCAGCTGGTACACTAAAACATACTAAAACCTCCCAGCTGCCTGCCAAACAGAGATTTCCCTCCAGAGATTTCTCAGTGCCAACACAACAGTTTCTGTTTTGCCCCCTCACCACCCGTTTCATGCAAAGCTCTTGTTGACACTGAGATTAAATGTCGTGACCACGAGATGTTTCCGCAAGCAAATTTTAGAGCTTCGCAGACCGGCGATGCCATAAGGGTTGTTGTTGTTGCTGTCCCTCTTGTTCATTAATTTTGTTGCTTTTCGCGCGTGTGTGCCAAAAAGACCGGACCCCTTTTTGAAAACATGTGCCTGCGCGCAGGGGATGAAACGGTGCAGAAAAACACTGTATGTACTAGTCCTTTTTCACCAAACAGTTTGGTAACGCTAGGGGTTCTTATGATAGCTGTTAAGGATTGGCATCCGTGTCCAGCCAATTCGCTGCTATTTACAATACATTCATTCACCTCGAGATCTTCGAAGTGCATTTCGACTGCGCAGGCTCGCAGAATCTGATGGGCCAGAGCGGGTGCTTCTAGCGACTGCGCTGCGCAAGGGAAACCTTGTGTTTTGGTGGTCCAAAGTTGACTTTTCGTTACAATTCCAGGAGATCGAAGCGGCTTGAATCGGTTTCATGTCGATGTGCAGATTTTGTGGCAGGCGCGGTGCTTTGGACATGGTGGTGGTCTTCGGCGTGCTCTCATTTCCAGGACATGTGGCTTGAAATCGGAGGATGTCTCGAGTGAAAGTTAAAGCTGCGCTTTGGCATTTTGATGTTGTCTTTGGAAGTTCTCTTGGTGCGAATCGCCTTGGCAGGGCTGCGCGATGTGACTGATGATGTGCAGATTTCGTGGCAGGCGCAGTGCTTTGTCGAACTTGAAAAGCGAGTGCAGACCTTGAGGTGCAGGTTTTGTGGCAGGCGGCAGGCGCAGTGTTTTGTGGAGCTTGAACTGTAGATTTCGTTCCAAACACAGTATACTCTGTGGACCTTGAGTGCAGATTTTGTGAGGCTCTGGACCTAGACCTTCCATCACCCTCACCACCACCACCACCACCATCACCGCCATCATCTCACCACCACCATCGCCACCGCCATCACCATCACCATCACAATCACCACCACCAAGGCCCACCGCCATCACCACCACCATCAACATCATCATCACCACCATCACCGCGTTCATCACCACCATCACCACCATCATCACCGCCAACACCGCCTTGCTCACCACCATCACCACCACCACCATCTTCACCACCAATACCACCTTCATCGCCACCAATACCACCATCATCACCACCTTCATCGCGACCACCACCGCCATCATCATCACCGTCACCACGCTCGCCATCATCACCACCACCATCACCAACACCGTCGCCGCCACCACCACCACCACCAGCAGCGCCAGCGCCAGCATCACCACCAGCGCCAGCATCACCGCGCCAGCATCACCACCACCACCATCACCACCTTCACCTTCATTGGCACCATCACCAGTATCATCACCTTTATCACCACCACCATCACCATCACCATGGCCACCACGATCATCATCACCATCTCCACCACGATCATCATCAACCACCACCTTCACCACCTGCACCACCTGCACTACCACCACCATCATCACCACCGTCACCTTTCTCTGGAGCCCAAAGCGCCTAGACCGTCCGCTTCTTTACTTCTAGAGCTTTAGACACTGCTCTTGCAGGGGTAATTTGCACTAGGACCAAATTACACCAGCGTAGACCCAGATAGCTAGGCACAGCCAGCTTACGGCACCTCCAAAGCGCGCACAACCAGCTGACGCCAGCACCAGCACCGGCGCCCTGTCTCGACAGCGCGCATTGCCACCTGACAATACCCGACCAGCGCCGCCGCCTGTCTCAAACGCGTGCGCAGCCAGCGCCAGCGCCGCCCAGGACCAACACCGTCTCGACAGCGCACGCCCCACTGCACCAGCACTGACACCCTCTGGAAGGCGCGCGCAACCAGCTCATTCTTGTTTCAAATAAGAACCCCATAGCTATCGCTATCTGCAGCTTATTGTTATTTGAAGTAAGAACCCCATAGCTGTCGCTATCCAGGGAAAAACGCTGCGCATATTGAATGATATTTTCGAGTTTTGTTGAGTTGTTGTTGTTTTGTCAATAATAACTGATTGAACCTGATCCAAAATCGACCTCCCAGAAGCAGCTCAAAGTAGCCTATGCCTATGCGGCGAAGGCTGAAATTAGCTTTTGATTCTGCATTTAATTTTGAGCGACATAGCGACAGCATTACTGAATGTAGTTCTACGCCGAAAATTCTGGGTATTACGGTATTAGTATTCGGTTCGCCGCAGCACCGTGCAAAGTAGCTAGGGCCGGCAGACCGCTTTAAGTCTACGTCCAGGTCTGCCCTCGACCCTGCATCGTTTCTTGAGCCCAGCCGTCGCATCATAGTTTTACGCCGAAAACTATTCCAGTGCCAAACGTTGCTTTTTAACCTCGGTCAAACTCTTACCCACGACCTTGTCTCTGGCTCTGGCAAGGCTCGTAGCCCCGCCGACAATCCTGTGGCGGAGCGCTTCACTCTGCCAAGTGTTTGTTGCTTGCTTGTTGTATACCTCCACAGGTCTACCATCGACCTGTCCCTCACCAGCTTCGCAGCCTTGGCCCAAGTGTCCGCGGGTATTAGCTTCGCCAAAGCATTACGACCCTGTCTCTGGCCAGCCTGGCAACCTGGCCCACGTGTCCGTGGCGAGCCACTCCGCCAACCTGAAACCCGTGGCCCATCGCAAGTCCACGTTGACAGCCTTCTGAGCAGCGAACCTGAACCTGTCTCTGATCCTGTTTTGGAAAACAACCCCAAGAGCTTCAGCTCACTCCCCAATGAACTCTGCCTCTACCTCTACCCTCACAAACCAAACCGCCGCAGTACAGTATCCTTTGGCGCGCTCCCCATCATCGGCTGGGGTCGGTGGATATCTCTGTTTCTGACGGCAGCCGGGTCCACACCCCTCTGCATTCAACAGCCGCTTTGGTCCGGAGAAGGCGCGTTTAGCAGAAGAAGAGCGCCTGGCAGAGGAGGCCCGTTTGGCAGAGGCAGAGACGGAAGGCGCAATGCTGAGCAGAATGGCCCCGGGTGGTGTTTACCGTGAACACTGTTTGGGCCTTGAACCAACTTGGAAGGATGTTTAGAGCTCCATGCCTTGCACCATGTGCCCGTTCCCTCTGTTGAATTGATGTTTTGCTTGACGATCACCTGTGGTTTTATATGCTGTAGACTTTTCTATTTCCGAGCATATGCGAGATGGATTGTAAACTTCAAAGGTGCTGTTATCAGAAGAGTTATTGCGAAGATGGAGAAAGTGGCCTCCTTTGAGAAGAAGTGCTGCAATTGTAGCCTTTCAAAGCAGTGTTTTGAGACAGGTTTACGCAGCTGTCGCTGCAACAAACCAAGCAAAGACTTGTAGTGAGTCAGAACAGCTGCTCCGTACGCCTGGCCATGGTGCACTGATTCGGCCATGGCCGCCACTGTGCCCTGGCAGCGGAAGACACATGCGAATCAATCATTTTCTCCCGCAAGATGCAGTTGGAAGAGTACTTTACTTGTAAATCAGATCCTGTAAGGCCTGTGGGAAAAAGGCAGCGCCTACATTCAATACTAGTTTTGGAGACATGATCCAGTATCCAGTTTTTTGCACTTGAACAAGGAACACACATGCAAGGTGGATTTGGAAGGGTATCAACGTGCGTGGCGCTTGCGACATGCTGCAGATGATGGTCTCATGCTGCAGGCGCCGCAGCCAAACATTTTAAGCTGAAATGCAGGTCTTATCAGAATCAGATAAAGCGAGACAGAGATTTTCCCTCATTTTTCAACGGAGAGTACACGCACAGATCAACACACTGTGCTGTCCTTTTATGCACCAGAAACTTGCCGTGCATTCAGGTCTTTGGCGATGACCTTCCAGAGCTACAAAAGCGCGGACTCACTGACAGATTGTAAACGGCCAGAAAACAAGCGACGGATTCGGATTCGTCGTTTAGTAACAAATCTATATTCCCACGCGAGGAAGCAATGAACCTTAGGTGTCGCTTGGTTCGGTTAAGCGTCTTTGGGCCACCAGAACACACAACGAACTTTGTATTTGTATGTATATCTGTACACATATATACATATACATATATAAATATATATATATATACACATGGTTTTCTTATGACAGTGGTACAAAATGCATCAGGTCTACTTTTATATGTATTTTACGTGCTTTTTCAATGTTATGTTCTTTTGGCACCAGACTTTGTTGGTTTGCACAAAACACGGTGGAACTTCGATTTCAGAGCTGTCCTATTTTGCCGAGGTTTCGTCGCACGTTTGCATGTGCATCTCAAGGGGTGTTTCGGGGGGTTGGGCAAGATGTTTGCATGCGTACACACATGTGCGCTGTATCTCAAGGGTCGGGGGGTGTGGGCAAGATGCTGGCGTGAGGGGGTTTTGGGGGGGTGACGAGGAAGAAGGTGTAGTTAAGACAGTGACCGTTTTGGAATTCCGCATTGAATGTCCCACAAAACGCTCACTGTCTCAAGTAAACCGTAAACCCGACGGGATATATATATATATATAAATAAGGTACCCCCCTCTAATACACACCAAAAGTATGCTTTATACTGTAAATTGCAATGTTTTAAAATGATATTTTGGGCTCACTTTTTGAGTGATATTTTGAGACCTTTTTCCACATGATTGTTTCGAACACTTTCCATAGGGGGGTACCATATGCATATGAAGACTCGTGATAGATCACGGGGACTGTCACGGAACGGCCGTGAGACATCACGGCTCGAGCCCCCCTCTTGAGGCTTCGGGTGGGGCCCAGCGGTGCCGCGATGGAGCGAGGCGGGCATGACCTAGGGTTGTGCGCCGTCCTCGCTGGGTGGGCGGAGAAAGACCTCGAGACGTTGGCCGGTTTGGGATGGACCGCGACCAAGCTGGCCACGTTGAGAGGTTGCTCGAAGAATGTCCTGGAGAAGGTCTTGAACTCCGCCCATGGGAAGCGAGAAGGCTTCGGTCAAGATGCTGATGGTCTACGACAGCTGATCGACCAGTGTGACAACAGGTCCGCCAACATACACCGAGCAGATGCAGGCCGAGGCTCGCAGGACCTTTTGGAAGCCCACATCGACCATCAGCGGGAAAAGAGGAGACGGACTTTCGAAAACCTGGAGGAGCTTGAGGTGGCCGATAAGATCAAGCTGGTCGGAACCGCCAAGGTGACGAAATGGCCAACTCGGCTTGGGAAGAAGCCCCACCTGGCTGGAGGCGATCTGGCACTCAGGGAGCAAGCAGAGAAGACAGAGCGGGACAGATGGCTGGCAGAGCTGAGAGACATCATGAAGAAGGCTCGACTACCGGTCGCATTGCGCTCCTCCGAGGATTCGATCATGATGAGGATTTATAGCGAAAGGACGCCGTCCGAACACGTTGAGAAAGCATGTCAAAACTTGGCAGAAAGTGGGGCAGTGGCTGGAGGCGACCTTCGAGAAGCCATGGCCTACATCATCCACAGAGTTTGCCGAGTATTTGGAGGCCATCGTGCAGGAGCCATGCGCCAAGTCGGCGCCGGAGGCGGCATACAAGACTCTGATGTTCTTGGAGTTTGCAGGCGAGGTGGAAGAGGGCGACATGCTCCACAGGTCGTCTGCGGTGAAGAACGCCTTGGAGGAGGCGCAGCTAAGGCTGGCTACATCGGAGTTGCGGCCGTCGAGGCAAGCCCGTTTGATCCCATTGGCCATCGTCATCGCCATGGAGGAGATGGTACTGGCCGATGAGATGCTGCCTTTCTCCCGGGCCTATGCATGGTACAGGCTGGTGGAGATTTGGGCTGGCCTGCGTTTTGATGACACCCGAGGGACTCCGAACAGAGGCATGGAGCTCCGGGAGAATCATTTGGTGGGCGTCATCCACAAATCGAAGACGTCGGGTCCCGGCAAGAAAGTGCTGCTGCTGCCCTTCTACATCAGCAGAGAAGCCTGGGTCAGCAGGTACAACTGGTTGGAGGTTGGATGGAAAATATGGACCCACATGGGTATGGAATCTGGCATGTTGACACGAGATTTTATGTTGCCATATCCCACGCTGAGCAGACGGGGATTTGCAAGGCGCATGGCGGACTATGCAACAGCGTCCGCTATGTCTCAAGCCTTGTTTGGAGAGCTTTGGTGCATGGATGGAGGCACCAGGACATCGCTGCTGTTCAATGGAGTTGGCACGTTGTGGACAGAACACAGCGAACGTGCAACTTTGCGTTCCTGGGCGGCAGCTGCCAGGATTCCACCAGACATCAGGCGGCAAATGGGAAGGTGGCGCCCAGCAGCCGACGAAGGCTATGAGCGGGTGACGAGAGCCAACATCCTGAGAAGCCAAAAGGTGATTGCCGCCTTTCTGAGAGACAACAAAGGACGAGGAGATCCCATGGACGAGCTGTTGAGCTGCAGATGAGGCTGCTAGAGGTATTCCATCCAGAGGAGCTGGCGGTCGAACCGTGTTGGCGGCCGAAATGGACGCCATCGGGACCGGTGGTGCTGGTGGAGCCGGACGAGGATGCGGACATCAAGGATCCGGCGACGGACACCGGCGATGGAGGCTTCAAATCAGAGCAGGAGGAGGAAGCTGGGCTGGAGAGCCAGGTCGTGCCGGCGGAAAAGATCGCAGGCGCGTTCGTAGTTTCGATCGTTGGGCGGTCCCACACGAGGACTTTGCACCGAGTCGGGGAATGCCATAGGCAACCCGGTGTCCACTACTCCCGGTTTGAAGTGCTTGGAGATGAACCTCCTGAGCCATCGAAATATTATAGGGCATGCAGAAACTGCTTCGGCAAAGATGCGGCCGTGGTAGAAGGGTCTCCGGAAGACGACAGTTCCGGGGACGTGACACAATGGAGTCGGAAGTGGAAGCCTCAGCATGAGAGATTGATGGCGCTCGCGCTGAAGGGACAATCCTGCACGGACCAAGTGTGTGGCAGAAAGTGCGTAGTGCCGCACACGGGGAAAGAATGGGGGGCACAGGCGAATGGGTGAAAGCTGAAACCTGCTTGGATTGATTCGAGGGTTGTTTGTTGGCTGTCGGGTCGTTTCGTTCGGTCGAACGCGAGTGCATGATCATTGGAGTCACCCTGTCAGGCATGTGTGCATACATGATGGGGCTCTAGCTGGCGCGGCGGGGCCGTGCGGCGGGCTCGCGGAAGGCGCCCTCGCGAGGTGATGATGGCGGTCGCTGGTGCAGCGGCGCATCCGCTGGACATCGGGCATGACACGCCCGTGAGAAGGGCGAACGCCATCACGCTGCTCGATGCGGACCTACATGGGCTGCTGCAAATCAAAGAGGTCAGCGAGGTGATACAGGCAAAGCTGGCCGTGGCTAAGGTGAGGACTATTAGTCGGCTGAGCACAGTGGCCGACAACAGGACGGGAATGAGAAAGTTCTGCACAGACGTGCTTGGGTTGGACGAGACCACGGACATCATTGATGCGGCGTCTATGGAGCGGGCCTGGCAAGTCAACCCCGGGCCTTGAACAAAGTAGAGATACAAGATCTTCTGACAAAGTTCCAATCAGTTCATGGCTTGAAGTTGGAAGATCGGAACATCCCAGCAGCTTCTACCCTGGAGCAGATCTTCGACCAGGTGGAACAAGGAGAGCTGAAGAATATGAGCCTGGTCCAATTCGTCACCAGGGAAGACACCAAGGCTGATGTGCTAGGAGCGACGATTGAAAAGGGCACTGGAGCTTTGAAAGTGAAGAAGGGTTACGGTGAGTGCCCAAAGCCGAGGACACCGGAAGAGTTTCGTCGCAGAATGGCAGTGGTGTCGCACTCATACCTCCTAGCCCAGCTGAAGTTCCCTCAGAAAGCGATACTACGGGATTTGCAGCCGATGCATTTTCTCAAGTACCTGGACTTGATGCTTGGCGAGCGTGTTCTGGGTCTCAAGGCGAAGAATCAGGACTGTCAGACGGTTGCCTCGCCAGACTTTGACTTGGTCCTCTCCTACGACTTCCAGATCCGCAGGGCGATGGTGAAGTAGATGCCACCGATGAGGTCATAAGGGACATCCTCGCAGACAACTATGAGTCGGCCGTGGAGAATGCGGAGGATATAGAGCGCCAGGTCCTACAAGATGTGGAGAACGGCGCTATCATCCGTCTGATGGAGCACGAGGCCCAGAGGAGGTTTGGTCGGACGTCTGGCGGTGGCAGCTTTGGGTGCAGTGCCCAAGGAGCTGGGCACAAAGAGGGTGAGGCTGATCCACGACGGCACCTACAGTGTTGATGTGAATAGGAGGATCAGGGTGCGAGATCGGATGAGATTTCCTTTGATAGACGATGCGACGGCGGTGCTGAGGCAAATGGAGGAAGAAAGCTGGAGCACGGGGAGGCATCCGCTTCTCGGTGCTGCAAAAGCCGGAAGGGCAAGACCTTCTGGATGGACTATGACTTCGACTACCAGGCGGAGATCAACGTGCTGAGCCTGGCGGAAGACCGTGACTTGAGTGCCATGTCTGTCTCCAAGGTGGTGATTGACACCGGCGCGACGGAGTCGGTGGCAGGTGTCAAGTCAATGGCACAACTGATTGACTCAGCGATGTTCCCCTGTGACATCGAGCTGGAACCCAGGCCTCGCTTCAAGTTCGGCAATGGAGAATACCAGAGGGCCATCTCCAGATGCATGGTGTGCACGAATGCTCGGCCACCCTAAAGACCCGGTAAGACAGAAAGTTGTCTTATAGTCAGAAATCTAACTTTGCAAGAAATCTAACTAATAGTTAAATTGACAAATAGACTTTCATCTTATTTGTCAGACAAATTGTTTTAACTTATCCGGCAAACTAGGTTTGCCGGATCCGGCAGATCCGTGTGTTTGAGGCAGATCGTCTCCCCACGGATGACGAGGTAGTTTCAAGGCAATTGCCTTGAACGTGCTT